AAATGACTAAATCATTGCCAGAACATTATTGACGGGGCGAGGAGGGGGGCAGCAATCCTACAGAAATGTGTTGATTAGGTTCCTGTGCAACCAGATAGAAATGTCAGGATCCTCCTCCACTTACGATGCGGGGACCAGTGCACTGAGGCATGAGAGAAGAAGTTGATTTACAATTCGAAGGAAAAGCAGCAGTAAAATAATTGAGAGCCGGAAAGCAATCTCACTCCTGCCAAATTGCTTTCCTCCATGCATGCTCCATTTAGGGACGCTCTTTGGATACTCACATTTAGTTTGTGCATATTTCCTCTCCCCTGTGAATGAATATTCCGTCCTGTTGGATTAGGGCTGTTTCTCGGCTGTGATCAGCAAAAGAAAATATTCAAGTGACACAGCCCTGGATTGTGCCTGGAGCTTTATAAATGGGAGATAGTTGTTGATATATTTTTAAGGACGAAGGCCCTACACGGCCTGCCAATGAGAATCTTCTCATTCCCTAAATGGCACAAGCCCGGGTTCCTTTCAAACAAGCTTTAATTTGAGTTTGCGGGGATCGGACATGTGAAGGCTGTTTGCAAATTGTAAGGAGTTGGTACAATATTTGTTAACAAGAGCCACTGCTGCTACCACAATTATAATTTGTGGCAGAGATTTAATGAATATCGACCTTGGTGTTGCTGTGTCTTTCTTTGCACATGAAGTATTCATGGACAAGGAAGGCCTTCCCCTCCTGCTTAGGAGTAATTTCCTCTAGGAATTAATCTGATATTCATGGATACATACATAAAATGTGTGTGGTGTTGTCAAACCCTCACTTAATTGGTTCCCTGAGTCACATAGATATCGAGTCATTTACTTATAATTGTTGGAAGTCGGTGACAAAACTTGGCTGAGAAGTTTGATTCTTATGCCATTGTTTGGCCCATGGAAGAATATTCTTATGCCTTGCACAAGAGCAAGAATTTAAAGATTAAAAAAATACCTTTATATTGAAATATGGAGGGGCCATCTTTCTTTTAACCTTCCTTGCTCACATTAGAAAATATTTTTGCTTACGAGAAATGCAATCTGAACAGATTTATTTTTTTTTATTTTATTTTTTTATTACAAAGGGTATTACATATGTGTCCATTTTTTCCCCCCGCCCAAGACAGTCCCCTAGCCTCCCCTATCCCCCAGTGTCTTATGTCCATTGGTTATGCTTATATGCATGCATACAAGTCCTTTGGTTGATCTCTTACCCCCCTACCTCCCGCCCCCGAACCCTATTTATTTTGAAGATTGCCTCATGTGAGCCTCTGACACATCCAGGGGCTGGAATCAAAATTCTAATGCTCTCCAAAGATAAGGCGTGAAATACCATTGGGGGGGAAGAATAGAGGTATGGAAAGGTAGTCAGAAATAGACAATGCAAATTAGCTTTGAGCCCATGCCTGTTTTAAATTTAAAATTGGCTATAAGCCTGGGCCAGTTATACCCTGAGTAGCTAGAAGAGGATGGGGATGAATGTGAAGGGAATTTTTATGCCCTTCCCCCCAAAAATCTACAGAACCACAATCTGTATGCTCTAAGATTGATAGTCTCTGATTTTCTGGGCCAGACATTTATCCCTGATGAACCAGGGCTCCCCAATATTGATCACCACTGGCACTGTGGTGCTTTTCTCCCCTACCTTCACTTCACATCAAGAGGTCTTTTGTTCTTTACATTAAAAATAAATGTGCCATCCTAGCTGGTTTGGCTCACTGGATAGAGCGTCGGCCTGGGGGCTGAAGGGTCCCAGGTTCGATTCCGGTCAAGGGCATGTACCTTGGTTGCAGGCACATTCCCAGTGGGGGATGTGCAGGAGGCAGCTGATCGATGCTTCTCTCTCATCGATGTTTCTAACTCTCTATCCCTCTCCTTTCCTCTCTGTAAAAATATCAATAAAATATATTTAAATAAATGTGCCTTTGTCATTAGCCTCAGTCACACCACAGTTCTGCATTGCTCTGTGACCAAAAACAAGGATTTTAAGAGCCATGAATGACAAATGGTGGGTTAGACACTTAAATCACATGGGGTTGTGTACACACATGCACATACATATATACATACTAGTATGTGCACCACTCACATCCACACCAGAAATCTCCTACCTAAGGTGGTAAGGATTGGCCAGTTAAAGCAAATTACCCTAGAAAAACATGCAATGCACACATCACTGAGACATCTTAACTTAAAACACATCTATCTACGTGCCTTTATTTCCCCACCTTTGGTGGAAAGGTTGTCTCCGCCCCGTCCCTCACCTTCCCCATGAAATGAAGATTTCCAAATGCTTTCCAAAAGCAAGTGAGGCTTTTCCTGAGTAGAGGTCTGATGGTTAGAGGGCCTCCACTGGTTTCATAAACTACACCCTTGAGACATCACCTTTCCTATCCAGCTCAGGTTTCTTTAAGTGGTCTGAGTGCATAGGCGCCTGTGTAGCAATCTGTGTGCAGAACCAGCCCGGACTTTCAAGATTTTATTTTAAAGCTTTTACAGTCCTCCTACCACAGCTGACTTTATCTAGTCTTTCCAAAGGTTCCAACTTAGTTTTTATGGCATTAACCTTTCATTTGCTTACATATAATTTCACTAGATTTTATAATTCTAATAACAACTGAGACTTGCATTAAGAGCTTTGGAAGAAAACCCAACTGATACTTGGAGTGTTCAACGTCAAGTGTTGCTAACAGATATGTGTAGGCCTCCCAGAGTTACCTACTAGTTTCAGCTTTCAGCTTGTACTGAACATTTGTCACTAAATTTTGCAAAGAGATACGAGGTGGTTTATTTAACTCTGGTTTTCTAATCTCTAAAAAACTCAGAATAAAGTTTGTGACACATTTCCAGGTATTTGTAGGACATGATGGTTCACATTTTCTTCCTACCTTAACCTCTGACTTTATCTTTTTTTACTTGTTTTTTTCTTTTACCCTCACAGATTTTCTCTTCATGTCCCATTAGACCAGCGGTTCTCAACCTGTGGGTTGCAACCCCTTTGGGGGTCGAACGACCCTTTCACAGGGGTCTCCAAAGACCATCGGAAAACACATATATAATTGCATATTGTTTTTGTGATTAATCACTATGCTTTAATTATGTTCAATTTGTAACAATGAAATTGGGGGTCACCACAACATGAGGAACTGTATTAAAGGGTCGCAGCATTAGGAAGGTTGAGAACCACTGCATTAGACTAATGGAGCTCCAATCTTTTGCTAGAATAGCAATGTGTTTGCTTTTGCTGTTGTAGTCCATGTTCTGCAAGATTTATTTTCTAAAGGTAGCACATGAAGTATAGTGTACTTAGTTAAAATTATCCTTGAACATCCCTTGATGAAGGCTCAGCCCAACCCATCATATCTCCAGAGGTCTACAGCCCTTAGTTTTTCCATTAGCTTTGGAATAGATCAAGATTACGTGGAGTGTCAAAGGAAGTAGTTTGGCATGTTTTCAGGGGGGTATCTGGGAAAATGTAGGTATACTTAAAACTAGAGGGGTGTGGGATGGTCACACAGAGGCTCGTGGGAACTGACATGTATGCCTATCACCTAAGGAATTTTAAAGCATATTGTGCCTGGTATTATTTATAAATGTATTCCTCCCTTATGGATTAGCTAGGTCTCATCTTACTGAGAAAATTAAGACAAACTCATTATGTTTCCTTTCCACATATTCAATAGGACATGCCAATAAACTTTTACAGCAGTAAAATAAGATGAAAATGGAAAACCTTTGCTTGCATTTCTGAGCCAGGAAGAACACACTCTTAATGTCTGTGTGTGTGTGTGTGTGTGTGTGTGTGTGTGTGTGTGTGTTTAAATATATTTTATTGTTTTTAAAAAAGAGGAAGGGAGAAGGAGAGAGAGATAAGAAGAAGGGAGAGGGATAGAGAGTTAGAAACATCAATGAGAGAGAAACATTGATCAGCTGCCTCCTGCACATCCCCCACTGGGGATGTGCCCGCAACCAAGGTACATGCCCTTGACCGGAATCGAACCTGGGACCCTTCAGTCCACAGGCCAACACTCTATCCACCGAGCCAAACCGGTTAGGGCCACTCTTAATGTTTTTAAGTTGGTGTTTCAAAAATTAATAACTTCACTATTTCAAGTTTATAAGTTAGTTCTTGGGTGGTCACACTGCTGACGTGAAAATGGACTCTTTTTCTCATGTGTTCTTAAATTGAAGTAATTTCTTTAAACCTTAAACTTTTAGAGCAATGTGTGCATTCGGATTATCAGGTCCCATTCCCATGTTAGCTGGAAATCTTCAAAATATGGGCTTCGTAATTTATTAGTAACTTGGCACCTCTTAATAACAGACAGAGTGTTTACACTTCACATATGTCCTATTAATAAACTAATAAACTGTTAGTCTTCAAAATAGACCTACACATAATACCAGTATTAGTGTTTTTCTTGGAAGACTATCAATGCAAGGGATTTTTCTCCCCCAATCTATACATTTTTTAATTCAAGATGCCTGAACTGGAGTATTTTTTTTTTGTTCAGACAAATTTGGGAATATAGCATTTGACGCTTTTGAGACCATGACGCCTGAGGACACCTTATTTGGTTTTAATGAGGCAGCATTGCATATGCTGTAGGTTTCAGAGTGGGCTTGGGTGAGTCTGCCTGGTTTTAAATCTTGGCTCTCCCTTTTACTGAACACGGTAAATTATTTATGTAATCTGTGCGCCTCAATATCCTCATCTATAAATGTGCATATTAATAGCAGTATCTCCCTCATGGGGTTATTAGGAAGATTAAATGAAATGGTATATTTAAAGCACTGAATCAATCCTCATGTGTTATAAGTTCTCAATAGATTCTTATTCATGTCAACCTTGTTGTGTACTGGGGAATGGGATCCACACCAGTGGGTGCCCAGTACATATCAAATGACTGGTTAAGAGGAATTGTGGTACTTTGCTGCTCTGGTCTTTCACCTCCGCCCATCCTTTGTCCATGCAGGTGGCCCCAGCTATTAAGGAGAGGATGATGAAGAAGGGCAGCCTGATGCTGGGCTATCAGCCCCACCGGGGGAAGGTCAACTTCTTCCGCCAGGTGGTGATCAGCCCTCAAGTGAGCCGGGAGGACATGGACTTCCTCCTGGACGAGATAGACCTGCTGGGCAGAGACATGTAGCTGTGGCTTTTGGTCCCCCAGAGGCACGGGTCTGTCCTGGGGAGGGTTACAGATCCAGGATGTCTGGGGACAGGCACATAGGCGATTACAGCCCTTCTCATGAGAAATAGGAAACAGCCCATCCAAGCCCAGCAAAGCCAAAATGCTAAGCGAATAGTGTTTAGGACTCTAGCTGCCTGGGCACTACTGTTGCTGTAAAAGAGGAAGTGAAAAGTGAATTTTCTCAAGGATTATTGCTGGGACCGAGAATTGTAGAGAGTTTAGCAAATACCATGTGGTGCCTGGAATCGAAGCTTTTGTTGCTCTTTGAAGAATGTCTAAGTTAATAGTTTAAAGCTGAGGTTCTCAAAGTGCAGTCCCTAGACTAGCAGTATGAGCATCACCTGAGAACTTGTTTAAAATGCAAATCCTTAGCCCTGCCTCCTACCTGCTGAATCAGAAACTCTGGCGCCCAGTGGCGCCCAGTCTTCTTTCTGGGTTGTAAGGAGTCTTTCCGGGTGATTCTCAGACAAGGTAAGACCTGAGAACCAGTGTTTTACTGAAACCTCGTAATGACTGAATAATTGCTCTGATGTTTTGCTAGCAAAGGAATATCGAATATTTCAGTGGTCCCTGGGCCAGGCTTTGAGAATATAGCCGTGGCATTGGTAGCACAAATGTTTAGGTGTGTCAGAAGTATACGAGAGCTATTTTTAAAAGAGAAGCTACTTAAGATGTTTACTTTATAAAGATATATCTTTTATGCGGGCTGAATGTTTATTCTCAAAAGTTGAAATTAGCCATTATCCTAAATTATTTAGAGAGAAAAACAAACACTGTGTTGCATGGCCCTTTAAATCAAAGCAATAATCCTAATTCACTTCTGAAAATCATTGTATCATTAGTTTGTCATAGACGCTAGATATATGTGTCTCTAACTATGTACCTCTTTTGGCTTGAGGGGCCCATTTCTTAGCTGGCTCTCTGCTTGTAGGAAATAACCAGAATGGAGTCCACAGTGATACATTCCCTTTCTCAGGCTTTGAAATGTTAGTGTCGATATTTGAATGGTTCATATTGGGCAGAGATTCTGGGAATTAGAAACCTTTCAGTGCAAATACCTCCTCCATTTTCCCTGGGAGTAGGTGATGGTAGTTCTGTCTCTTGTCCTGCCCCTAGATATCTAGGAGAATCTTATTTAACTGAGAAATAAGCAAAATGCAGAGTTCAACTAGGTAAAATTACGAATCTAACTAGAGCGCCAATTTGGAAAGCAAATGATTGGAAAGTTAGACTTAACACATGAATTAACCCTTGGTACTCCATCATTAACTTGTGTCGTTTAAATTTTGAAGAGTAAAAATCAGATCTGTGTGTTCTCTGCTTTTATTCCATTTGTGGGTGTGTGGTTTCTTTGTATCTCCACTGGGCAAAGTTCCCTTTCTGGTGATAGGGATTTGTGTTGTGCGCATTCCATTTCTCATTGCCTTTTGTTTTACTATCCTTATAAAATGTTCCTGAAATGGATGTTTGCAGTAATGTGGGTCTCGTGAAATAAAAAGCTACATTAGCACACACTTAGTGTTGTTTTCTTTTCCTGTTATTTCCTTTTTACTAAACGAAACCAACACAGTTTAGAAGTGATGTGGGATCCGTTGGCATTTTTAGCTAAACAATTGAGTAGGTCGCAAGCTGTTTTTCGTTGTTCACACCTCGAATTAAATGGCAACAGCAGCTGTAGCAAAGTATGGACTTGCCTCTTATTTAAACCTTTTTCTTCTCCTGGGCAAGGTAGGGAAACTCAGTAGCCACAGCTCAGCCTCAGCTGTGCGTTGTGTGAGAGATGCAAGTTCCTTGATCAATTTAAAAAGCAGCTGCTACCAGGTAGTTTGAAATTTCCATTTGGTTCTTTAAATGTCAAGGTGTATAGCACAATCAGGTATTGACTGGATGGTCAAGAATGATTTTTGTATAAAAGATTAATTATAATTCATTCACTCATTAAACGTATTGATAGTGGTGCTACCGTGTTCCAGGCAGTTAGCTTGGTGCTGGGATAGGTATTTGTATGTGTGCAGTGAATGAAATAAAAAAGGTCCCCGTTCTTCTGAAGCTTTTAACCTACTTGGGGCAGATAGTCAACAAGTAAGTATGTAACAGGTCAGGTGGTAGTAAGTATTTTGAAAGTGAGAGCGGGGTGTGCTATTGGGGAAAAGTGGGTTAGGCAGGGTCTCTCTGTAAAGTACCATTTAAATGGAGACTAAGTAAAGGAGAGAATCATTGGGTGTTTGGGGGAAGGGTGTTCCAGGTGGAGGGCATGGTGAGCTACAGGCCCAGGGAGCTGCACGCATGATACTTCCGAAGACAAGCATGGAGGTAAGCATGGCTCACGCAGAGGGAATCATGGGGTGAATGATGGGTGATGAAGTCAAAGAAATATCTGGGAGTCAGTACGCTGGGTCTTGTAGGTGGGGACTTATTAGATGGAAACACATTAGAGAATCTGAAGAAGGTATTGAATGATTCAATTTATATTGTATTTATTTTTAATTGAATTTACTGGGGTGTCATTGGCTCACAAAACCATACAGGTTTCACGTGTACAACTCAACAAAGTATCATCTATACACTGTGTCCTGGGCCCATTGCTCCAAAGTCACTTTACTTCCCCATTCCCCCGCCCTTTGCCCACTTCCACCTCTCCCCCACCCCCTTTCCCTCTGGCTATCACCACACTTTGTGTCTATAGGTTATGTATATATGTTTCTTTTAATCCATTCACCTTCTTTCATCAAGCCCCCCAACACCCTTCCCCTCTGATAGCTGTCAGTCTGTTCCATGTATCTATGCCTCTGTTTCTATTTTGTTCATCAGATTATTTTGTTCACTAGATTCCACATTTAAGTGAGGTCATATGGTATTTGTCTTTCTCTGATTGGCTTGTTTCACTTAGCATAATAATCTCCAGGTCCACCCATGCCATCACAAAAGGTAAGATTTTCTATGTTGCTTTGTTTTGTTTTTAAATGGCCGAATAGTATTCCATTGTGTAAAATGAACCACAGCTTTTTCATCCACTCATCTACTGTTGGGCACTTGAGCTGTTCCCAGATCTTGGCTATTGTAAATAATGCTGCGATAATCATAGGAGTGCAAATACTCTTTGCAATTAGTGTTTCGGGTTTCTTCGGATAGTTCCCAGAAGTGGGATCTCTGGGTCAAAAGGCAGTTCCTTTTTTAATGTTTTGAGGAAACCCCATACTGTTTTCCACAGTGGCTGCACCAGTCTGCATTCCCAACTTTACATTTTAGAAGGATCACTGGGAATACTGTTTGGAGAGTGGGGGGTATGTTGGTAAGTGTGTACTCAGGGTGACCAAATAGGAGGCGATGGCAGTTGTTTGAACAAAAAATAATGAAAGTTTATACACTAGGGTTGTAGTGAAGGAAGAGGCTCAGTATTAGGCATTTAAAGGTAGAGTTGATGGGGTGGCTAATGGAGTGGAGTGTTCAAGGAGAAATAAAGAATTAAGAGTAGCGTCATATACTTTTGGCCTGGACAACAGCCTCCTTACTGCATCCAGACAGTGCTTTGGGGCATGGTCCAATCTCCTCATCAAACTGCAACCTGATTAAAACACAAAACGGATCCCCTCTCTCACTTTCTTGGAAACTTTCATTGACTTTCTGTTTGCTCTTAGGATTGACAACTGCCAGCTTTGCAGAAGACCATCAGCAGGCCTGTTGGCCAAGCAAAGCTCAGTTAATTGGCCCCATTGAGTGCGGGAGAGCATTGCCTTGAGAGACTCTCCGTGGTGTCTCAAAAGGGAGAGGTCGGAGGAGGATATTTTCAGGCTTCCGGTCTGTGCTCAAGGGGCCTACAGCGGGTCTTTCAAGGCAAACTGGTTGGGACACAGTTCATCATGTCCTCGTGGAGAACTGGTGGGCACAGCCAGATGAGAATCTTGACCCATGCCCTGATGAATAAGCTGCTGTGTGACATGCAGGCTGTTCCTGCAGGTGAGGCAGTCTCTTGTCCTGATGGGAGAAGAGACAAGTCGAGAGTTTGTCTGGATAAATTGGCTGGCAGGAATTTGCTCAAGCAAACAGGAAAGTTGTTCATTGATTTACAGTCTTAACTTTCTGAGCAAGAAGCTCCTGAAACAAATGGTTAAATCACGTTGACGTAAGTGATCTCAGTCCTGATAGGTAAGCTCTACAGAGGCAAGTGACTTCCATTTTCAGGATAAAGATCAAATTCTGCACGTGGCTGCCAAGGCTCAGCATCCTGCCAACCCCCAGTTTAACTTTAGGTTGTGCTGCCTCCCTCTTGCTGAGAGTCAGAAAAATGAGCCCTCTTTCAGGTCCCACCCCACCCCCTGCCTCTTTACCCCGCATGCCAAAACCTTTGGCTGTAGTATTCCCTCTTCCTACAGTGCTGTTTCCCCTTCACCTAACTAAATATCTGCTTACAGTTTATATTTCAGCTTCATTCGCAGTTCCTTGGAGGCGCCTGCTCTATCTGCCCTCCACCTATCCAAAAGGTACTCTGCAGCAAGAGAAGCTCTTTGTAATTTTCTTAAAATACACGCATCACTCTTTGCAATTGCATATCTCTGTGCATTTTTAAAATGAAGATGTATTGTCCATTGGAGACTTAGCACATAATCATCACTCAATAAATAATTGTGAAAATAAGGAAGGTTGGCATACAAACTGTGATATTGAATGTTTGGGTTAGTAAATGTGCCCCTGAAGAAAAAGAGGAATGTTCCTCCTTAAAAAAAAGAACTTAGATTTGGCTTGTCACAGCATCATTTTCTTCTTTAGACAAGTGTGATTTTGATATCTGAATATTTGCTCACAAGAATGTAAAACTAGAGCCATAACCACCTTAAGTTATCACAAGTTGTGGGTTGGTTAACATTTCACTAGCATTACCAGGAATAGACTCACGCGTGAAATATTCTGCAATTCTGCCTTCTATCTGATAACAATATGGCTCATGTGGATGGGGAGTTTGAAACAATTTTTATTCTGCTACTTGAAGGCTTTGAGATTTCCTTGTGTTGGTCATTTCTGCTGGGGGAGGTTGTTGGGAGAACTCTAGCAATAATCTGCTTCTGACCACTGGAAGCTACTGATTCCCAAAAGAGTCCAATAATCATGACGGGCAAATATGACTTAGGCTCATTCACAAGAGATGAGGCCTGAGAAATGTCTCTTGGGGGCACTGGGGCAACTCCTTGTTGAAATTCAGTGGGCAGTGGGCTCTGTGGATGGAGCTTCTCACCAGGTGCTCAGTGTGAAGGATGAATGATGTGATTCCTTGGCACGGAAGACACGAGATGCTCACTTGACTAGATCCTGGAGATGCTAGAATGTCTGGCTGAGTCTCCACGTTGTTCCCATGGGCTGACAATTTAAGGCGCCACTCTGACGAGGTGTGGCTGTTCTCTGGATTATGACTTAACGTCAGTCTGCATGTTTCCTCCAGCTCTCCAGCACACCGGTCCCCAGCCTCATGGGCGTTGCTCCACGTCATAGTCCCCTTGTCTCCCTTCACCTGGGGAGTCTCGGCTGGACTCAGTGATGTGGACATAAGAGGCCTTGTTCTGATTCAGCCCGTCTTCCTGCTTGCTTTGAGTCCACCACCAGCTTTTGAAATTCAAAAAGGCCTTTTCTTCTTTAACAAACCCACCTAGAAATCATCATGCCCCCCTAGGTCATTCCCCATGATCTGGCCTGAGTGGGCATGCGAAGGCACATCGTGAACAAGAAACTTACTCGTATGTTTATTTCCCAAACCCTATTCAAAACCTCCAGAGTCTGGTAGATTTAGAAATCCGGACATTTGGGAGATTTTTAGAAAGCTAGTAGGATGGATATTATGTGAGACCCTAAAGTGCGGTGTAGGGGACATCCCCATTATTAAACACATTGATATTTCTGCCAAATAACATAAATATTCACCCTAAGTGGGATGAGGGACAACTCTAAGTAGCCTCCCATCAGATTTAGAAACGAAGTGAATGAGGACATTTATCTAGTATAATTTTTTCAGAGCTCTTTGATTCAAAATAGCAAATAAAGGATATGGACCTGCATTATCTCATTCCGAATAGAAGCACCATTGTCTGCCATTTTGTTCTCTTTTTGGTATTTTGTCGGTGCTGTTAGCCGTGAAAGGAGCTGTTCTCCCATCAGACCTAGGAGATTTAGGAAATGGTTGAACACAGATTCAAGAAAACTATCAGATGGAAGTGTGATTCCCTTTATTATACTTGAGGCTGTGCAATGCATACAAATAAGCCTGATGTTCCTTTGTTGCAGGATGTGAATGTTCCCTCTCATTATGGAAAAATAATCAATGGCTTCTTCTTCCCTTTCTTTCAAGCATTAGAGAGATGGAATGCAAATATGTCCTCCTCTGGGGAAGGTTTGAAGATTAAGCAAACTAATTACTTAGTAGCTAATAATTCAGGCTCCAAGTTGATAGGGTACCAAAATCTGTTGAGCAGAGAGCGGGAGCAAAGCTTGGGCAAAGAAAAAGGTAGGATGTC